CACAGGAATGGAGTTCCGGCTGGCTCCCGAGTTGGCCACGCCCAGCAGGAGCTCATTAGCATAATAGGCCACACCCAACAACAGAAACTCATTAGGATTGGCTACATTAGGGGCGTGTGGCCTAACATGCAAAGGAGTTCCTGCTACAAAAAAGCCCTGGGTTTTGACAACAAACAAGGTAAACAGAATAACAAGCAAAAGGTGGGTGTGGCTGGATGACCAGACTTCTGGTACCATGGGGGTGCGGCCTAATGTGCTAATGAGCTGTGCTGTCAGGGGTGTGGCCCAATATGCTAATGTGTTCCTGCTGTTGGGTGTGGCCTATTATGCTAATGAGTTCCTGCTGTGCTTTTTCTACAAAAAGAGCCCTGCCGGCAGTCCTGAATTGTGATTTTTTTTTTAACATGTTGTTTCACTGTGTTTTTAATATACTTTTATTTTATGTGTTTTATCTATGCTGCCAGCCTCCCTGAAAGGCAGCTAACAGAAGTTTTAAGTGAATAATAGAGCAGGCCGAGTGCAGGGAGGGCAAAGTGGAGGGGGCTGCCACAAGCGTGTGATGGGCGGGGGGGGACCTTGCACAGGAGGGGCCAGGCCCCCTTCTCGAGACCCAAACTGGCCGGAAGGCCGCAGGGCAGTCGGTAAGGTCGACTGTGTGGATCTGGCTCAAGAGGCACCAAAATGAGGGGGGCTTACCTGAAGCTGAGCGGAGAGGGAGGCCTCACGGCCAAGGGTTGGAGACTTTGGGGGATACGCTGTCCCCTGAACCCCGGGGTGGTAAGAGCCTCAGAGTGTTTCCTCTAAGCTGAGTTAGTGTGAGCTAGCTCACAGTTTCTTAGCCTCTGGCTCACAGATTTTTGTCTTAGCTCAGGAAGGGGTGGCTCCAGCACAAACTAATCTATGTAGTAGCCAAATCGCTCATAGCTCACAACTTTAATACCAGTAGCTCAAAAGGTAGAATTTTTGCTCACAAGACTCCACAGCTTAAAGGGAACATTGCTCACCACAACAGCAGATGGAAGGGCTGGTGGCAGTCTTCCCTCTAAGCCGAGTTAGTGTGAGCCAGCTCACAGTTTTTTAGCCTCCGGCTCACACACTTTTTGTCTTGGCTCAGGGACGAGGGCTCCAGAGCAAACTAATTGATGCAGCAGCCCAATCGTTCGCTCACAACTTTAATAAGGCCAGTAGCTCACAAAGTAGGATTCTTGCTCACAAGACTCTGCAGCTTAGAGGGAGCATTGGCTTGTGGGCCTCGTGCCGGCCCCCTGCTGTAGGCCCGCGCTCACACCGCTGTCGTTTCTGCCCCACTGAGCCGGCAGGCCCGGGCTGCTTCTGCCTCCGGTGCCCCCCCCAGCCTGCCCCCCCCCGGGAGCCGGGTCTGCCGTTTGGGAAGGCTTCAGTTCATTCTCCCTGTGGTCCTTCCCCCTGGTCTTGCAAGGGACTGGACGGGACCTGGGAAGCAGCCTGAAGCAAAGGGAGGCACGGGGCCCCTCTGGGGTGGGCAAGGTCAGGGGTCATTCCCTGCGGGAGTGCACAGGAGCGGAGCTCCGGCAGTAAAGAGCCCAGGCGGGCGGGCACATGCAACAAGCCCCACCCCCTGCTCCCAGCAGCCCTCAGTCAGAGCAAGAAGCAGCCAGGTAAGTTGCAGAGCCGCCCCCCCGGCCAAAACAGTCCAGTGGCACCTTTAAGACCAAGTGTTATTCAGGTACAAGCTCTCCCTCCTCTGCGACAGCAGATCTGCACGTTCCCCCCCCACACACACACACAATAGCTAGCCATCCAAAACAGTCCGGTGGGGCCTGAGCGGTGGGTGTTGCCTTCTGACACGCTTTCAGTGATGTCAGGGGGTGTGGCCTATGCAAATAAGCTATGCTAATGAGCTCCTGCACCTCTTCTTCTAGGAAATGACCCCTGCTTACTTCCAAAAGGAAATGGATAGACACAGGACAGGAATGTGTAGGAGGCCTCTCCCCTTCCTCCTAGGGTGTCCATTAATGTCAGGAGTTTGGCTGCAGCGGCTGGGTTCGGGCAAAGGGCACGGGACAGGGAGTCTCCAGGGCCGAGCCGCCCACACAGAAGGGCCACCCGGACAGATTAACAGCAGGGACAGAGAGTGCAGGAGACGCAAGCCAAGCCACGGCTCTGACCAGGGAGGCGCCCTCCAGCGGGAATCAAGCGCAGAGCCTGACAGAGCATTCTGGAGTGGCAACGCCAGCTGGGCCGTTTCTACTTACTTCCAACTCAGGTTTCCAGACAACCCTGTTCAAAAGAGAACTTTCATCGGCAACGACAGCAGGATCTCGACGAAGGTAGTTCAGGCCGGACAGGGAGATCCAAGTCACCTCCTTCCGGGAATAAGTGTGGAATTCATCCTGGAAGAACAGAGAGCAGCAGAACCCGCTGGAGCCGCACCGAGGGAGGATCCCGTCCCCACCCCCAGCCCGGTGCCCCGCCGTGTGCAAGTCCAGTGCCTGGCCCCAGCAAGGCCCCCTCCCGCCATAGGCTCGGCTTTGGGGGAGCAAGTAGGCTCAGCTTGAGAGGCTCCCAGCCACCAGCAGCCCCTCTGGACTGTGGCCCACTGGAACCAGTCCTGGTCAAATGCGGGACCAATCCAGCCTGGAAGACCCTGCCCCAGCCGGGCTGGCTGTCCACGGCCCCTCCCCCAGGGCCTTCTCCCAGGGCATCGCGAGGAGGTGTGTGAGCAGGGGAAGAATACAGCAGTCCAGTCCCCACATTTAATTGGATTTGAGTGCACAGTCTCCAGGGAAAAGCCTTGAGACTTTCCAAGCACAAAAGCTAATATTGGTAACCAGACTAGTCAGAGCACTGAATCAGTGAGTCAGTCTCCTCCCAAAACACCAATTTGCACTTCTCCTTCACCACATCCGTCCGCTTGGGGCATTTCTCTGAATGCAGTCATGGCACCCCGAGGCACGCAGCAGCAATAAAGGCAATGCAAAACTATTAACAGTAAATTAACTAGAAGCCGTATTTAAAACAGGCAATTAAAACAGTAAAGGCCAAGCCCATTTGAGATGCTCCGTGCCTACCTGTGTAACCTCTCGGCATCAAATCACAGCCAATGTTCCCCGGGAGGGTTTTCAAGGCAAGAAATTAACAGAGGTGGGTTTAGGCCATACTGGGACTACACCATCTTGAGCTTACATCATTGATTATATTGTATGTATTTCAATGCATTTTACCGATTGAATTATTTGATATTTGGAAATTTTAATTGCATATTTACAAACTGATGTTACCGGCTCTGAGCCAGTCTTTGGGAGAGCGGACTATAAATCAATTAATTATATAGCAGCAGCAACAACAACACCATTGTCTGCCTCTGCATAGAAGAAGAAGAAGAGATTGGATTTTGTTGGGATTCCTTTTAAGTAAGTCAGCAGAGTATTAAGAGACTGAGTCCATGGTGTGTTTTAAAATATAAACATTTACTATAAAGCTAACATGGGGAAAAGGTACAAAGGATATAAAATAACAAAGAGCTAATATGGCTACATCCTTACAGCTAAAAGGTAAAACAGGAAGAGTCAGAACAAAGAACGGGAGGAGAAAAGACCAATATGCTAAATACTTGACACCTTGGTTTCCAATCAGACTAGCAAACTAGCTCCAAAGTTCCCGGGCATCCTATTGTCTAAACAGATTGGTTACAAACAAACATGTGACTTAACAAACATCATTAACCCTGTAAACACTGAAGTGTTTTCACTTGCAACAACCAAAAGATTTATACCCCGCCCTTCACTACCCGAAGGAGAGTGGTTGACAATCTCCTTTCCCTTCCCCTCCCCACAACAGACAGACACCCCATGAGGTCGGTGGGGCTGAGAGAGCTCTCCCGAGGACTGCTCCTGAGAGAACAGCTCTGAGAGAACGTGTGGCTGACCCAAGGTCACCCCAGCAGCTGCATGTGGAGGAGGAGCGGGGGAATCAAGCCCAGCTCTCCCTGATCAGAGTCTGCGCTCCTGACCACGCCACCAAACTGGCTCTCCCTGGACTTCCTTCCTGATCTCCCCCCACCCCCAGTGCTAGCCAGGGCCCAGCCTGCTTAGCTTCTGAAACCTGACAAGGCAGGGCCCTCCAGGTCGGGCAGGTGGTGGGAAGTGCCCTCCGGGTGCAGCCTGCCCATGGCAGCCCCGTGGTGCACTCCAGGCAAGGGACAAACAGAGACGGGATCTGACGGGGTCGGGCTAGCCGGGACCCTCCAAGGTCAGGGGAAGCAGCCCCACATGACCTCTCAAATAGTCCCCTGTGGGAACTGTGTTGTTCTGTGAGGCATACCCGGAATGTCAACGTTCCCACAGGAAGATTGGACATTAGTGCACAAAGCCTGCTGAGTTCGCTGAAGTCTGCTGAGAGTATAAACTTGGCTACAGTCGGGCAAGATAAGATGAGCTGTGGGCAAAGAACATTCTGTTAAGAATATACTGTAATCCCAGTTATAGTCTTCGACTTGTAACGTTTTCACTGTGCAGGGCAGGGGGGAGAAATGTGTGAGCCTGCGCTAATAAAACGCTGCTGACAGGCAGTTCAAAAGAGGAGACAGAGAGAGAACTGAGAACTTATTCAGAGAGCTTCAACAGATCTGTGTGTTGTGTCGTTATTGAACCCTCAAACCTACAGCCCCCCCCCCCCAGGGGAGGCGTCTGCTCCAGGCCTTCCGGGAGCCTGTTCCACACACCCGGCAGGGGGGCACCAACAGATAAGGGCTGGGACAGGACAGGCTCGTAGGGGACCTGCAGCCCAGGTGCCTGTGGGGATAGATGATCCTTGAGAGGTGGCGGGCTCTCCCCCTTTGGAGGTTTTCAAGCAGAGGCCAGATGGCCCCACCTGACAGCCACGTGGACTCTGTGAACTTGGGCAGATCACGAGAAGGGAGGGCAGGACAGGTTGCCTCCGTGCTTAGTTCTCGTGGCCCTTTCTTGCAACACGCCCCGGGAAATGCTGGTCACCACTTTGGGGTCAGGAAGCAATCCTGGAGGGTTTCTCGTCATCTTCTTTGCATGGAGCAGGGGCCACTGCGGGTGTGGAAAGGGGGGGGTATTTGTGAATTTCCTGCATTGTGCAGGGGGTTGGACTAGATGACCCTGGAGGACCCTTCCTATTCTATGATTCTATGATCCTTCCCCTCTGTGGGGCCCCTAGGTAACGAAGGGCGTTCAGAGCCACAATCAGCCCCTTAAGCCGGGACCAGAGAGGCATCCAGGGCTGGTGGGATGTGGTCCCGGCCGGCAGAGCCCGAGAGCAAATGGGCCGCTGTGTTTTGCACCAGCTGGATTTTGAGATCAAGGACAGCTCAGTGGAGAAAGCACTGTAGTAATCTAGCCTTGTGATCACAAGAGCATGGATAAATGATTAGTTGTCCGCAGGAATGGGGACAACTTCTGAATGAAAGAAAGATGGGGGGGGAAGTGATTTTGTTGCTGTATTAACTGTTTGGTCATGGTATCTGTGACCTCAGGGGTCGCTTTTCACCACATTGCAGGACTGCATATAAAGCCTGCCCCCCAGGGAGCTGTTTTGGCTTGGGGAAATAGTGGGGGGGGCTGTCCTTCCCCAGGGCCACATGCTCCCTCTAAGCCGTGGAGTCTTGTGAGCAAGAATCCTGCTTTGTGAGCCGCTGGCATTGAAATTGCGAATGAGCAATTTGGCTGCTGCACAAATTAGTTTGCTCTGGAGCCCCATCCTTCCTGAGCAAAGACAAAAATGTGTGAGCCGGAGGCTAAAAAACTGTGAGCTAGCTCACACTAACTCAGCTTAGAGGGAACACTGGCCACAGTCACCATCTGATTCAGGCCCTGCAGTGCTTGGGTAAGTCAATTTGCTGCAGTTGCCGTGAGGCTGTGGGGGAAATGAGATGACTTGACTGAGGGCTAAATACATCACGTCGTTCATCGACCCTAAGTCCTAAATCGCATAAATAAATTCAGTGAAAACTTGCACCCCACGAACAGTGAGGAAAGTGACCAGTCCTCCCCACTTGGTGGAAACGGCTTGCCACCCAGCATCGCCTCCGCCTTACCCAGCTTCCATTTCGGTTTATTCTCCCTCAGCCGTCTGCTCCTTGCATTCAGGACCTGGGGGTAAAGTCCTGGGTCGCCTCTGGAGGAGCATTTCCTTTCAGAGGGAGAAGATCAGAGACTTGCAGAGGCTGGAATGACCTTCTGAGGTTCAAATGTCCAGGCTGAGCAGGTCTTGATAGGCAGCCGCAGGCACACCGGCAGCACCAGCTTGAAAGCAAAATATGCTTGGCCCTCCCAGATCCCAGTCGGGGAATCCCACAGTCTTCCTATTCCATCGCAACTCACCATTTTCCCTCAGCTCCACACCACGTGCAAGTGGGTAAGTTTGCAAGTGGACTTTAGGCAAAAAGGCATCTCCCTGGTCTCTCTCTCTCTTTCTCATGTTTTTATCCCTGTGAGGTATTTAGCTGTCACATTTTTATCCTACCCTGAGAAAAGATATAGAAGAAGAAGAAGAGGAAGAGATTGGATTTATACCCCGCCCTTCCCTACCCAAAGGTGTCTCAGAGCGGCTTACAAACTCCTCTCCCTTCCCCTTCCCACAACAGACACCCTGTGAGGGAGGCGGGGCCGAGAGAGCTCTGACAGAAACCGCTCTTTTTCAAGGACAGCTCTTGTCAGAACTACTGCTTGCCCAAGGTCATCCAGCCAGATCCAAGTGGAGGAGTGGGGAATCAAACCCAGCTCTCCCGAATTAGAGTCCGCGCACTGAACCATGACACCAAACTGGCTGGAAGTCCTGGAAGACAGAACTCCCAGGTCGGATGTCGCTCAATCACCTACTGGCAAAGAGCTGAGGAGAACTACGACGAGCACTGCCCTTACTGATGTAACTGGACTAAAGCCGAAAGGACGTATAGTCCTTGGCGTGAATGGATGCAAAAGGAAAATCCAAAGCTGTTAGACACATATAATAGGGGCATGGGATGTGAGAAGTATGAATCATGATATGCTGGACATTGTAAAACCAGAAACGGAACGTTTACTCAACAAAGGAAGCCACAAAGGCCCTCATTTTGAGAGCCGCGAGCCAGGCTGTGAACGAGGGGACACCCTGGAGGTCATTATAGGGTTGCCATGAGTCAGAAGCAACTTTGATGGCACTTAAACACACACAGTTCCTCTAAAGAGTTCAGGGGGGCATGCCTCACTCACATTTCATTCCCACAACAACCCCGTGCGTTAGGTTAGGTGCACGCATGCGACTGTGGAAAGGCCTAGCACCGTGGATATGCTCACCTCCCTGCAAATCCCATTTCTGGCACCCGTTTGTAAAACACAACATCCTCATACCGTCGATCTGAGCAACACCACGTCTGCCTCCTCCAAGTCGCACGGCACGCAGTTGGCCCACACGTCCCACGCCGGCTTCCAGTAAAAGACGAGCAGGAGAGCTCCGCAGGACAGGATGTACCCGGCAAGGCACAGGGCCCTCCGGAACCCGTCGGTCTGGTAGCCAAAGATCTCCTGCAGATAGAAGGAAGCAAAGGGCATTGCACATGGCGAGCCACCTGTGTTACCGCCAATGGCCTGCCTCGTGGTTGGGGGAAATTAGCTATGCGGCAGGGGAGGCCAGAGGGATAGCAAGGTCCAGTACAGTAGAAAAAGTCCAAATTTAAATGTAAATTAAACAGTTTTTTTAATTGAAGAATTTCCCTAATTACAAGCACACTAAACATTCAACCAAGAGCAAGCAATTCAGAACTGAGCCGCTTCGGCGGGAGGGCGGGGTAAAAATCTAATAAATAAATACAAAAAATAAACTAAGAAAACAGAGTTGACGATAGCGAATAGAAGGGTCGGTTACGGGATTGTACTTCCCGTCCAGATGTGCAGAGGTCCTTGAAAAGAATAGCGCCAACGACCAACGTTATGCACTAAGGAGGTGGCCCAAAGGTGAGACTCAAAGTATAGGCGCCGTCAGAGTGCACACCTTGATGGCCATGTGCTTGGATGGATACAGACATTGGGACACAATGTGGACCAATGGGAGGCCTTGAGGAGCTTGTCTCAGGTGAAGTCAAAAGGTTACCTGGACCAATAAGGGGCCCCAGGGGGTGTGACACCAAGATGAAACAAAACCTAGGTGTGACCAATGAGGTTCCAGAGGGGCAGAGTCTGGATTCACAATAGTGTTGATGAGATTAGCCAAATGCTGGATGGTTCTACTGGAGCTGGCTGAATGGGTCTGATGACCATTGATGGTCCTGCCAAGGCAGGTTGAATAGGTTCCCAGGTTTACACAAAAGGTAGAAAATGGGGTCCTTGATTAGCATCAGGAAGGATCGTTAATAATTTGAATGCTTGATAGGTTTATCATAGAATCATAGAGTTGGAAGGGGCCATGCAGAGACCACCTAGTCCAGCCCCCTGCCCAATGCAGGACCAGCCTAGAGCATCCCTGACAAATATTCCTCCAGCCTCTTCTTGAAAGCTGGCAGGGAAGGGGAGCTCACCACACCTCCCCAGTCAGCTGATTCCACCTTTGAACCACTCTGACCGTGAAGAAGAGTTTTCCCTAATATCCAGCTTATACCTTTCTGCATGTAATTCAAACCTGTTGCTTTGGATCCTATCCTCTGCTGCCAACTCTGTATCCTGAAGGACAGGGCAAGAAGGACAGTTGTTTTAGACAAAAGAGTTTTCACACAGGTATAAGGAGTCACGCAAAAAGGACTACTTGCAGGTTTGTGGACAGAAAGGCCTATTCGCCGGGTGGGCTCTGAATAGCCTTTGGAAATGCAGACACTGTACCTGGTGGGACTCGGCATTGTTTCCCTTTGCTTGCCTTGCTGGGGGGAGGGGGGGAAGGCTGGAGATTGCTTTGAGGGCTGCCTCCTGCAACCTGAAAATGGAGACCCTTTTCCAGAGCTTTTGGCTAGCTCGGTGGTTCAGGCCAAGAGTGCCTTCCTTGGCCTGACTTTGTGGGTCTCTGGTTCAGGTCAGAAGTGGGGTGCCCCCGGTATTTAGGACTACTCATGAGTAAGGCAGCACCTCTGGGCTACACCTGGGACAGGCCGCTCTCTACCCACCTGCCTCTCCCGGCAACGTGACATCCCAAGTTGTGCAAAACTCCCTCGACTGACTGGTTCGCCCACAATTTTGCACACAGACCCTAATGATTTATCCAAGTAACTCTTACGACAGAGTTGCCCTGTTGCCTGTGCAGAAAAGCCCTCTTCGACGTTTCATCTTTGCCTAGTTTGCAGAAAGCCAGGAGAGTTGGGAGCCTCGCTGACCTCCTCGGGGAGAGCCGTTCCTCTCTCGCTGGTCCTTTCCGCACTAGAACTTAAATCCTGTTTCAACCCTGTCCCCGAACTGACATTCACCCGAGTTCACCCCTGTAATTATCTCTGGGTATTTTTACATTCTGCACTACACTCGAGTTCCCTCTGGTTTCGCCCTACTCTTGTCCTGGGATAAATGCAAGGTCTTGTGTTGCGAGTTGAACTCTGATAAAACCAGGGATGAGATCCAAGTGCAGAAGGAACCTTAGTGTAATCCACCTTGAGTTCGAGTAAGAAAGGCAGGGTGTAAATAAAGTCAACAAAACAAACAGAAATAAAATATAATGGACCCATATTTTTATTTTCTGTGTAAAGCCAAAAATAATAATTTTGTGAAGTTATCAGGAACTTTGGGAACAGAACTTTCCAGCCCCATGAATCTCAGCATTCAAGGCTGCTCTGCCCTCGACCGGCCTCATTCGGCACCAGACGCCCACCTTCGGGCCACAGACAAGAGGCCCCTCCGGATCTGATCCTCTGAGCCAAACGTGTTACACTTTGGGGCATCTCCCTCACATAAGAGAACATAAGAACATAAGGGAAGCCAATGTTGGATCACGCCAAAGGCCCATCCAGTCCAACACTCTGGGTCACACAGTGGCCAAAAACACCAGATGCCATCAGGAGGTCCCGCAGTGGGGCCAGCAGGACACTAGAAGCCCTCCCACTGTTGCTCCCCCCCCAAGCACCAGGAATGCAGGGCATCCCTTGCCCCAGACCAAGAGTTCCTATCTATACCTAGTGGCTAATAGCCACCGATGGTCCTCTGCTCCATAGGTTTATCCAGTTCCCTCTTGAAGCCGTCCATGCTTGTAGCTGCCGCCACCTCCTGTGGCAGTGAGTTCCAAGTGTTAATCACTCTTTGGGTGAAGAAGTACTTCCTTTTATCCGTTCTAACCCGACCGCTCTGCAGTTTCATGGAGTGCCCACGAGTTCTTGTATTGTGAGAAAGGGAGAAAAGTACCTCTTTCTCTACCTGCTCTTTCCCATGCATAATCTTATAAACCTCAATCATGTCACCCCTCAGTCGTCGTTTCTCCAAGCTAAAGAGCCCTAAGCACTTTAACCTTTCCTCATAGGGGAAGTGTTCCAACCCTTTTATCATTCGAGTTGCCCTTTTCTGCACTTTGTCCAATGTTATAATATCCTTTTTGAGGTGTGGTGACCAGAACTGTACACAGTACTCCAAATGAGGACGCACCATCGATTTATACAGGGGCATTATGATATTCCCTTCCTAATAATCCCCAGTATTTTATATGAGGTTTTAAATTGCAGCCCCCCCCCATCATCTAAAAGGCACAGAGATGCCCCACCTATTCCCGTAAATGTTCAGCCCATTTAGTGTATAGACCTCTCTTCCTCATGGCTTGCAGTGGCAACACCCCAAACAAAACCGTCAGAAATCGGTGCAAGAAATGAAACACGTTTTCTCAGCAGACCAGCTGGAGCAGCTACTAAATCAAAGCCGTTGGCCTCAAGGAAGTCTCTGGCGGAATGTTTGCACACTCCTCATACAAAAGAGATCATCTCTCAAGGCTTTGAAAGGAGAGGTCAGGCACAGCTGGATCTCTGGTCACTCCGCCAGCTTTGTGCCAAACCCTGGGAGAAGGGGAAGCCACCCAGGCCTTCTTTGGCACAGGGTTGCCAGCCTCCAGGTGGGCAGCAAACACACAGGAAACATGGCAAGGCTGAGCAAACGTGGGAAAACACTGTGTTAAAACAAAACGCACAACTCTGATATGTTACTATGTCTTCATATATTCATTTAAATCATATACTTAAATATCCAGTAAGGACCCTAGTGCATCTTATTCACTATAGTACATTCAGGGGTCATTTCCTGCGGAAGCGCACAGGAGCGGAGCTCCGGCAGTAAGGAGCCCAGGGGGCGGGCACATGCAACAAGCCCCACCCCCTGCTCCCAGCAGTCCTCAGTCAGGCCACGAGGAGCAAGAAGCAGCCAGGTAAGTTGCAGAAACCCCCCCCCCGGACCCCCTTCAGGCCCAAGCCCTCCCCCCTTTTGGGGGGCAAATCTGCGCTTCCCCCCCCCCATAGCTAGCAATCCAAAACAGTCCAGTGGCACCTTTAAGACCAAGTCTTATTCAGGTACAAGCTCTCCCTCCTCTGCGAGGACAGATCTGCACGCCCCCCCCCCCAATAGCTAGCAATCCAAAACAGTCCATTGAGGCCTGAGCAGAGGGTGTTGCCTTCTGACACACTTCCGGTGATGTCAGGGGGTGGGGCATATGCAAATGAGTTATGCTAATGAGCCCCTGCATCTCTTTTTCTATGAAATGACCCGAGTACATTGATAACAAAAAACTAAGGAACAATATATATCTTGGAGAAAAGTCCACAGCTGCAGAGACAAATATACAGACAGGATTCAATGCTGTAGACTATCTTGCTTTCTGATGAGAGACTGATGAGAGATGCAGCAGCTGTCAATGCCAACGTTAAGAACACAAGAACATAAGAGAAGCCAATATTGGATCAGGCCAATGGCCCCTCCAGTCCAACACTCTGTGTCACACAGTGGCCAGAAATACCAGGTGCCCTCAGGAGATCCAGCAGTGGGGCCAGGAAACTAGAAGCCCCCTCCCACTGTTGCCCCCCCCCAAGCACCAAGAATACACAGCATCACTTGCCCCAGACCGAGAGTTCCTATCTATGCCTTGTGGCTAATAGCCACTGCTGGACCTCTGCTCCATATGCTTATCTAATTCCCTTTTGAAGCCGTCCATGCTTGTAGCCACCACCACCTCCTGTGGCAGTGAATTCCATGTGTGAATCACTCTTTGGGTGAAGAAGTACTTCCTTTTATCTGTTCAGCCATTTCATGGAGTGCCCACGAGTTCTTGGCTGTTTCGCTTTCCGAAGAGAGATGCAGCCAGCATCAAAGCAACACGCCTCCCAGGCAAAAGTTGTGTGTTTCGAGAAATCCTTCTTCAGGCAAATTATTTTTCCTGGAACCAAAGCTCACCCTGCTACAACGCACAAGTCAAACAACTCTGCAGAAGGCTCCTCCAGTTCTCTACAACATTGAATCCTGTCTGTGTATTTGTCTCTGTAGCTGTGGACTTTTCTGCCAGTTATATATTGTTCTTCAGGCTTTTGTTATCAGTAGCCTCCAGGTGGGGCCTGAAGACTCCTGGGAATTACAGCGAATCTCTCCGC